GCTATTATTTTTATATAGATAACATACAATAGACAGTACTATTATATTTATATAGATACATACATTAGACAGTAGTATTATATTTATATAGATACATACAATAGACAGTACTATTATATTTATATAGATACATATAACAGACAGTACTATTATATTTATATTGATACATACAACATACAGTACTATTATACTTATATAGATACATACAACATACAGTACTATTATATTTATATAAATACGTACAACATACAGTACTATTATATTTATATAGATAACATACAACTTACAGTAGTATTATGTTTATATAAATACATACAACATACGGTACTATTATATTTATATAGATAACATACAACTTACAGTAGTATTATGTTTATATAAATACATACAACATACGGTACTATTATATTTATATAGATAACATACAAATTACAGTACTATTATATTTATATAGATACATACAGCATACAGTACTATTATATTTATATAGATACATACAACATACAGTACTATTATATTTATATAGATACATACAACATACGGTACTATTATATTTATATAGATAACATACAACTTACAGTACTATTATATTTATATAGATACATACAACAGACAGTACTATTATATTTATATAGATACATACAACATACAGTACTATTATATTTATATAGATACACAATAAGTAGTATTTTTCTCCTTATCTGTTCCGATTTCTTGTTCGATTTTTTGTACCATAGTTATAATTTATTTATTTATTAAGTTTATTTACCTCACATTTTTGTAGATTTACTGTCATTTTTTGATGAAATATGCAAATTACATGTCTGTTGTGATTTGTGGTGCCAAAATCTGGGTAAATTTGAACAAGGTGTCCACCGTTGTGCCGACACGGCTCAGTGGTAAGTATGCAGGACATGCTATTCACTTAGGAGCCTCGGGTGCGTTATAAGAGTGGTTGTCAAATCCCACCATTCGGTATGATAGAAGTGGCCCAATAGTTGGCACTGGGTGATGTTGGCTAGCTACTTTTCCTCTAGTCTATCACTTCCTAATTAAGGACGGTTGTCGCAGATAACCCTCGAATAGCTTTGCGCGAAATTCAACAGACAGACAAACAAAAGTCCATTTCATAATTAGCTAACAGAGAAAGTGGAATGTTCGGAAAACAGTTATCTAAAATTATTCATTACTCTTTACCTAGTGGTCAACTGTGAAGTTTCCAACTGGGGCCCGTGGTCCAAGTGTGATGCTGACTGTGGACCAGGAATGATGAGTAGACAGCGTTTCATCCTGAAGAGTCCTCAGAACGGAGGAGAACATTGTCCGGATCTGGTCCAGAAACGCGGCTGTGCTGGTACAAGATGTGAAGGTACCAGTCGCAACGAAAAAGCCCTCAAAGGTAATATTCTAACCTAAGTTTTCATCTAAGAAACTGTAACCCTGAAACAGAGGTCACTAAACGTTGTTAGAGAGGATGAAATAAAGTTTTGTATTTATTGGTGTTAGTATTGACTAAAATTAATAACATATATTTATTGTTTTTGATTTGTCTTATATATATATCATTTGTGTGAGAAATATTTTGAAATTTCAATTTGTATATGAATTTAGAACTAACCTAAACCTTCTAAGTTGGCCGAACCTCGTGAGATATTATTGGGATTATGGTCGAAAACATCGCTAACAGCGAGGCTACCCAACCGATGGAACAATCTATATCCTACTAAAACTCTGAGATTGTTTGTTTGTTTGCTTGTCTGTCATTAAATACAGCAAAAACGGCGTAC